GGGCAATTTGGACACTGGGAACAGGCGTTTCCATGGGCGTAAGCAGAGGTGGTTCAAAGTTGGATCTGCAGTCTTGAGGCTGCGGACTGGATGTCCCCGTAGGGTTGGGAAACGAGGGCTTGAAAATGTGTGGTGTGGGCACTTTATTCCACGTCCGTAGGATTTTATTTTGCTGGCTGGCTCTGAAAATTCTGGCCTGGTGACTGGAAGCTGGGTTAAGCTGTGTATCCTTCACCGTGCCAGGCATTAGACCGAAGGCCGTACAGCTGATCCCAAACCAATTCCAGCTCACCGGGCTTGAGGCTGGCCTTCTTTCTATGGCCCTAGCTAGGCCAGAGAAAAGGGGGTCATTGGGCTGTGGTTTTTTTGTTTTGTTTGGGGGGGTTCGTCAACAATGCCTTTGACCCATCGAAGGACGGCGCTGAAGGCGTGGGACTCGACTCGGCTTTTTTCGCCTTCCCAGCCCCCCCTTAAAAGTTGGGCAGGGACTCCCATGAGCACACAACCCACCGGTTTGGCTTCCCTTTGTTTTAGAGGTTGCTTTGATATATTTTTGTATCTATAAATGCAGTGGTGGCTTAGGGCTCTCCCGGGATCCTCTGTTTGATTCCCAATACGAATGGTGCCATATGCAGGGCCTGGCTTCCTGGTAACACGTACAAATGCCAAAGAGCTGCCTAAGCTCTGTGTGCGATGCCAACTTCAGGGGGCTTCCCTTTCGAGGATTCCCTGAGCTGACTTGTATCAAGTGAGACATTGGGGGGGGGGGGCTGCCAGAGAGGGTGGTGTTGCCGACCTGCGCGGACGACGACTGCGTTTTTGAGTTTAGCGCATCGTCAAGAGGTTGGCCTTGTTGCTGTTTTCAGATCCACAAAAAAATACCCCCCCTTTCCCCCTTAGGTCCCCTCACTTTGGGGTGCAAAAGGCGAGGGATCGACCAACCTTTGGAAAGAAGGGAATTCCTTTTTAAGTGGCTTGGAGACAATAGCCTGAGAATCGGTCACGGTTTCTTCTGGGGGGGTCAGAACAGATTTCGTTTAGCTGGGAGACTCCTGGCAGTGTTGATCACACAAAGGTGCATTCAGACAAACGGGAGCCACAACCTGGGGTGAAACAGCCACGTATTTGACCCTCTGGTAACGTTACACCCGTGTTGGCAGCCAAAGGGGATCCTTCCGGTATCTGAGCCCGATGCTGCCGCTTCCAGGCATGTTGCCTGCTGCTTCTCACTTCCTCCCCCCCCTTTGCTGTCACATTCAACTTCTTATCTTCCATTTGAAGGCCCCCATCCAGACGCCAGATGGCTTCTGTCTTGAGAAAGCCCCTCCCTGCCGGAGTGCAGCCGAGGACTGACGCCTCCCAGCCTCTGTTTGGGTACCGAAGGCAGTCTGTGCTGTGTCCCGAACCTCTCCCCCCCTCCCCGAATCCTGTCCTTCCTTCGCTTTCTCTCCTTGGTCTGTTGTGTATATTTTTTACCACATTTACCATTTGTTTTTTTTAAAAGGCACAAATATTTATTTGAAAAGTTTATTTTAAAGATTTAATAAGACAAAGAGAAATGCAGCCGAACATATTTATTACAGTAACTCTCTTAGTTGTATTTCCCCCCCCATTCTTACAAATCTTAATCCAACTGTTAACTGAACCACTGCTGAAATAAAGGAAATAATTCTATGGGTGGTGTGCTGAACCCGCTCCAAAGCAACTATTCAATAAAAATATATTTCTTTTGAATATCCTCTTTGTGTTCTGGTCTTTGGACAGGGATGGGATAGGAAATATGTATTCCTACCCTCAGCTGGATGCCCCAGTCTAGCCAGAGCTCCTCAGCTCTTGGAAGCTGGTTAGTACTTGGATGGGAGGTCTCCGAAGTCCAAGGCCACAGTGCAGAGGCAGGTAACGGCAACCTGTGTTCCCTCTAAGCTGAGTTAGTGTGAGTTAGCTCACAGTTTTTTAGCCTCCGGCTCACAGATTTTTCTCTTCGCTCAGGAAGGATGGCTCCAGAGCAGGCTAATTTATGCAGGAGCCAAATGGCTCGCTCACAGCTTTAATGCCAGTAGCTCACAAAGTAAAATTTTTGCTCACAGGACTTCACAGCTTAGATGGAACATTGAATTGGCAACCGCCTCTGGTAGTCTTTTGCACTGAAAACACCACGCTACGTGGGCTTTGTGTTGATGGCACTTCCCTCCACCACCATTACCAGTGAAGGAGCATGTCTTGATCGTGAAATCTGGACCAAAGACTCCTGGTTCATACTCTAAACTACCTTTGGTCTCAGAACCTTGTCTTTAATGCCATGGGCTTTGTCTGTGAGCAGTAGTACTAGGGTGTTTCAACTTCAGCTTGTCAGTTTGGTAGTTCAGAGCATGGACTCTAATCTGGGAGAACCGGGTTTGATTCCCCACTCCTTCACATACAGCTGCTGGTGTGACCTTGGGTCGGTCACAAGTTCTCTCAGCTGATCTCTCAAGAGCAGTCCTTGAGAGAGCTCTCTCACCTACCTCACAGGGTGTCTGTTGTGGGGAGGGGAAGGGAAAGGAGATTGTATGAGACTCTGAGTGAAGGGTGGGGTATACATCCAATCTTCTCTTCTCCCCCCAAAGTGAAGTTTGCAAGTGCGTTGGTATAATTTCCATCAGGGCCTTCTAGAGCTATTTCATTTATAAAATGTTCATTGGTCAACAGTTGTGTGGCCTTAGTACTGGTTTGTTATCCCACTGGGCAAACAGTGACTTTCTAAAGAGGCTTCAGGGTGAGAAATGAATTGGGGCGGGGGGGGGGACCCCACCTCATGGTGCTAATCCAATCCTAGTCCGGGGGTGGTTGGGGGGAATGCTGGGAACTGTTTTCACGGAACTCTGACCACCCTGCACAATTCAGTTCTGGAGCAAGTCGCAATGCTACAAAGTCCCCACCCCCGCCACCATACTTGCTTGACTGATGTAGTCTGAGCGTTTGATGTTTGGAACTTGATGGTTAGGCGTGTGCACGAGGGGCTGTTTCAGACTGGGTCCACAGCATGTGAGGAGGGCGGCCTGGGGGAACCCAAAGGTGGCCATCAGTGTATGTATGCTTGCCAAATGAGGCAAATAGCAGCTTTGCACACCCATTTCAGTTTAAGAAGAATTGGTGCATGGGGGGGGGTGCACTATGAAGCCCTTTTTACTTCTCGCCAGCTCTGGATTGGGAAATACCTTTTTTTTAGGGTTTGGGGGGGGGGGAGCTCAGCCAGGGGGCGATGCCACGGAGTTCCCCCTCCAAAGCAGCCGTTTTCTCCAGGGGAACTGATGCCGGTCGTCTGGAGATCAACTGTAATAGCCCCTCTGATTCTGTCTTTGGTAGAAGCCTAGGAAATCTTGGTTTAGAGAGCAAGAGGGGAATGTCCCCTGGTCCTATCTGTGGGGCTGTCACTAATATAGGGAAAGTTTGATTGGAGCACTGGGTATGTTGGGGAGCTCTGGAATAGATTATAGGGGTTCGAAGGGCCGATGGCAAGCTGGCTGCAGGGCTATTTTTGGGCGGCTATTTTTGGGCAGGAACGCACAGGAACGGAGTTCCGGCTGGCTTCAGAGTTGGCCACGCCCACTACAGCCAAAACCTCTGTGTGCCTGGCTACAGAGGGAAGGCCTGGAGAGCGACCCCCACAGTGACTCCAAGGTGGGTGGGCCGGGGGGGGG